CTCACCCTGTATACGATCTTAAAAATTTTAAGTCCCACGATATCTTACTATTTGTAATGTTTATATTTACGTAGTTTTATAATATTTTTTTACAGTAGATATTTAAGCTTTAAAGCTTCTCGATCTGGCAATTCAAGTGGAAAACTGACAAAATATTAACCACTGCTTTGTAACGCACAGTTGACAGTTTACGCACAATGCAAGCACTTATCTCAAAAGGCTGAAAGCTCTCGTCATTTTTCTATCGAGTGGATTCCATCTGCGAACGAAAGAGATTACCTGCAAAAGTGTGGCCGGAAGGCCTGAAAAAAAGCCTTTGCGAAATAGGCGTACATGTGTGTTCAACAATAGCGACATAAATTCTGAATAGACTGAGACAAGGCTATGATAGAAAGAAAAATCTTTATTGTCTGGACTTGATAAAAAATATAGGTATAGGTAAATGTACGCGTATCTACTTAATACTTCCGTTAGTAACATCTTTCAATTTTTAAAAATTTGCATTTATCATGTTCGAAGAACATTGTAATATAAGTGACTTTCCATATTAAGTATATTTTACAACAAACTGACTTTTATGATAAAGACGAAAGAGATTTCATATTTCTTGATAAAAATACTATTATACTTATATATTAAAAAAAAAGTTTAATCCTCATATTTCATGGGTTTTTAACAAATATATTATACACATATGATATACAGATAAACTTTTTACGAATTAATAAATCAACCGTCGATTATCCGAGTTTCGCGAATGAAAAAATGAAATAAAATAACGTAAAATAATGACGACAAAGTAAACTATCGCGAATCACCAAAGTTTTCCATGCGCATTTCGCGCAAGTCAGTGTGCACGGATGCAGGTCAAACACGTATGAAATTTGAGATTGGCAACCGAAGCATTAGTTCCTGGCGAACAAACGGGAGAGCATCGTGACTATTGTTCACGCGCTAGGTATTTGCGGAGAAAGCTCCTGTGTCCAAATATCGTCCATTATTCCGACAACTGTCTAAGTAATTCGGGAGTTGCCTCGCAACGGTCAGTGGAAGCCATTCCAAGGTGCAACATTGAATAATCATATATAAAATAGGATTGTCAGTTTTCCGATTTCACAAATGCAAAGTTATATTTTTGGACGATTAAAATCGCACGAAGCGATTTGTTGAACTCTGTGAGGACCAATTTCTACATCGAAATTACAATCGATTAAATAAGACGATTGAGCGTTGTCACTGTTACTTTTCACGTCATTAGTAAAGAATTAACATGAAAGTTCTCTAGCTGACATAGCACATGTCAACCATCATCGAGTATCTGTTTAAATACGCATATACGTCTTAATGTGTCAACTGGGAAATACCGTGACTTTACACCGAAAGTTCGCAGGCATTGTCTTGGCGGTCGCCGGGCCTCGTTTTTCATCTCATCGCGTCGCTAGCGAAACGAACATCCATCATACGGATCGACGCGTAATCGTCGCCGCGGACTTGCGACAAGCGAAATCGATACCCCGTCAATCCCCAATGAGCGGCGATCAGGCCATTTCAGCGACCTCATAAATAATGAAGCGCATGCAGATGCCGCCATCGCGGTAAACTGTGTGTGTTGTGCGGCGAATTTGCCGGTTTTACGTGGCTAACGATGTGCGACGACGTCTATACCCCGTATCCTTCCGCTCTCGTAATCGATTAAAATATCGCCCGATTATTTTGCGTAGCTTATTTAGGATTGTGCAAAAATATAGTATGCCACACGTGATAACTTTAATTTTCGAACCATTGATTTCTGGACGTAAATTTATACAGGATTCGATATTGGAGCATTTAGCGAACATGAAGAATATGATTTATAGAATATTACATTTTGCATGAGAAATCTATAACAGCTGCTATTTTATGTATCGAATAACTATGTATAAAAGTCCTATTTTAAAGTGTGCTAATTAAAAAAATATCCTACCGTGTAATATACAAATACAGCACATTGATAACATTAAAAAAAACAGAAAAGTTGCAGAACGCATTCATGTGCTTGTGAGTGTCTAATAAAAAGTTATATTTTACATTAGTTCACTAATAAAATGCAGCGCTAACAATTTACCTTTAATATAATGAAGAAAAGAATTGTACAAGAGAAAGTATTATATATGAAATTATTATTTCACTAAAATGTAAATTTATGAAAAAAGAAAGTGCGAGAAGAGAGACAAAGAGATGACAGAGAGAAAAAAAGGGAGAAAAAAGGAGAAAAATATTTAAATAAAATAATGATGAATGAATATGAATAAAACAATTAATTCTATAAATATACTAACACGCGAAGTTTCCGAATTTTAAATATGCAGCGTGCATACGTACAGTATATTTACACGGAAGGTAAATTCGGCAGCCGAGTAAATTTATTTACGCCCATACGTTTGCATTAGAGCGCGCGAAACATCCGCTTTTGGCCCAAATGCTGTGTGGATTCTACGGCACTAATGGCGAATAGGCATCGCTAATAACGAGCCTATAGCAAACGTATTAGTCGATATCGTATGACAACTAACAGATGACACTGTTATGTAACGATGATTCGCCATAATGCAAACATTATCCAAATTAGATCACAATAAATATCTCATTTCTGTCAGTCGTAGAGTCGCAGTACACATCGCGTCTTTGTAGATGAATTTTGACTTTCATGATGATAATTATTATCCTGCATATAATAATTACATTAAACGCTACGAAACAAAGTTTAACCAAAGGTGTCATTCTGTTAATTACATTGCGTCGTGAGAAATTTTTGAAAATAATTATTAAAAACTTAATCGTAAAATTAAAGAGTGAGAATTTATTGTATTTTAAAAGAGAGATAAATGTTAATATTAACACAAATTACATTGAATTAAAAATTTTTTAATCATTGCAGGTTTTATAAACAATATATATATAAATCTACATGTGTCATAATAAGTACATAAATAAAACTTGATTAAATTGTTGATCGAAAAGTAAAGTACCTTGACGTCGTATATCTTGACACACATAAAGTTGACACGGTTCAAGCGCGGAAGTGTTTTTGGACTGTGCTTAAACACTAACGTCAATGTAGTATCGATCGGAACACGGCGGGATAATCAATCTCCATCAACGGTTCATCAAAAATCAATTGTTTTTACGGCGCCGACGACTGTTGTACATTAATGCTTTTAGCACTGAACGTTGAGTTCTCTTCCAGTGGCTACCTTGGGCAGGAAACTCAATTTGCAAAATGAAATTCATGGTTGACCGATGATGATCGTCGCGAGATAGGAGACAATCAATCCACTTGATGCAGCACTACCCCGCGGGGTTAGATCGCTATTGCTAGTGGCTGACCTCCGATTCAGTAGCACGTTGCGCGAATTAGTCCGTGGCGTTTGTTCGCAAAGGTATCATCCAATCATGCGAGTGCATCGTACGCCGCCGTGATATGCGTGGCTAAGCCGCCTAAACCTAAATCGAGGTTTCTACCTTTCATTGCCATTTAATGGATATACTATGGGTACGTTATCCAGACCGCTTGTCTCTTTGACTCCTATACAGCGTTGAAAGCAACGTGAACTATCCAACGAGCAAGCTTTCAAGAAGTAAAACTGGAGAGCGAGAGAAGTCGAAGAATTTCTGAGCCTGTTAAAAAATTATATTGCCTCGCGTTATCGTAAATTTTAATCTCGATAGAAGTATATGTGGGAATCTTTTGCATTTATCCTCGGATTTATCCTATAAGCCGCATTATTAATTAATTTTCGCACAAAGAATATTTAAAATTCATTACTGTAGATATATTCTACATAGTTTTATTAGATTAAGAATTAAATACGTGAAAAGAAAAATAATTAACATTGAATTCTTAAATAAATTATTTCTTGAATTTAAAAGAAACAGCAAATCTTCGCTTAAGCCATGCTTGTACGCATGAGAAGTAATTTATACGAATTCAAAGCAGCTCCCTCGCGATAAAGAAATTCAAACTGCGGTGCACAGAAAAGTCTTTAGAAGGGGGAAGAGATCTGATAATTGCGTTTGGCTGCCGTTTTCAACGCGCGCGCGGAAATTACGCCCCGGAACTCCGACGGCGCATTAAATAGCCGGCAGACATGTTCGCGCGCAAAACAATGAGAGACTATAGAGATCGTTTGCGACACACACGTCGACCGACCGGGGATTTACGGTGCTGTGGATGCTTTCCGTGGTCTTTGTTCTAACACGGCCAAGACGTTGCAGGCTCCCCGGGCCAGTATTGTAGCAGCGCAGGCGTTGATGCTTGAGAACTTCCGGTGCTAAACATTTATAACGTGTACCTGAGTTTGAATATCTTCGTGATTCAAAGTTTGTGTAAATTAGGCAGTTCACTGATCATTTCGCTACACGTGGCTAATTCCGAATTCAAGAGACGGAATGGTTACGTTAAAAGTTATGTCATATGGAAACATATTCTTTATTTCTCAATACGTGAATTATACCTAAAGATATATTTCAAAAACTGACAGTATCGTATAAAAAATGCCAAGTATTACCATACTTTTGTCTTGCTAAAAGAATTATTGTGTGAATAATTTTCAAAAATTATTCGTTAGAGCTGAAACATCGGAGATTGGCTATCTCTAGAATCTTTTAAGACTACAACGAATTAGATTTGGCGATTGAATAAATAGAAATGTCTGCGGCAGCAAACCGCAGAAACTTGCGTAGAACGCGTGAATACAGATTGTATTGTTTGTGTTGCAGGTGTCTTGGATGCGCAAACGGGACATGCACATTTTGAGCGCGGGCATCCTCATGTACACGTCGGACCTGAGGTTCCAAGTGATCCATCCGGACAAGTCGGAGAACTGGACGCTGCAAATCAAGTCGCCGCAGCAGCGCGATTCCGGCGTATACGAGTGCCAGGTCAGCACCGAGCCGAAGATGTCGCTCAACTATAGCCTCAACGTGGTTGGTGAGTGCCGCCTGAATTATTCACACAGCCTGGCCCGGTTACGTAAATCGCGGCCTCTGGTTGATTTCGCTGGAAGTCTCCCTCTCGATGGGAGACGAATGTTACGGCCATCTCTCGATCGGCTGCTGTCTCGGAGAAAAGATTGTTCGCGACACGAGCCGGCTGGCGGGATCGAACGGGTTAAAGTTTAAACGCTTAAGTGCTCCGTCGTGGGATTATCCTCTCGATGTCGCGTCGCGTCCTGAAATCCCCGTCGTTTGAGGATTAACCAGTTGCCATCGGCATTGACATTTAACGAGAGTATGAAAGAAAAGACATTTACCGCTATAGAGTTTTAACACGTGTAGACTATTTGACCAATTCATAGTTTGATATTAGAAAATTAAAAGCAAGGCAGATCATGAAGCGCTATTAATTAGAAATCGACCACTATTTATACGAACTTCAATAGGTAATATAAATATTACATACTATTTGTTTCAGTATCTTACAATTAAATTTGCGCGTCACTTATTCAATATGTATATGTATATGTCACGCACATGGCATTTGCCTACAGAATATTATTTTGCCAGTTTATAACGTTTGACATATTTGTAACATTTAATATTATTGCGACGTAATTATTAATACGATAATGGTGATAAATAATAAATTACTTAATGACGGTGTGCAGAAATTTCTCTGCAACTGTATCGTGTGTGAAAATTGATCTCGATTCCATCACGAATGCCGATTGCACAATACAGCTGCCGATGACACATACAATTACATATTCATGCAGGTACAAGTGTGTCATCAAGTATCACTTTGCATCTCCTTAATATATAATGTTTATTGCACAGATACGAAACAAATGTGTATTTTTCAACAGAAAAATAACTAATCTTTTATAACGTTGTGTGACACATAAAAAAATTCACCGTGTTAATTTATCAATTTATGCATATTAACACTATTAAATATACCTGCCGAGCGTGTGATGTGATTCGCCCTCGGAAACAAGGAATAAAAATGCAATTTTCTTGGCTGCAACAAGATATATACAGTGAGAGCGGTATTCGTGTCTCCTTTAAAGTTAAAGGCAAGCACGCCGTAAGATTTAGTTAGGCAAAGTCTTTGCGATCGTTTTTTACGTTCGTGAATCTTTCAGCAGTTTCTGAGAACATTAGGGAAAACGACAACGATAACGCACGACTTCCGTTTCTTCCGTTTGCGAGCGTCGCCGACCAAATAAAAAGCAACGAGAGTGGGCAAAAGAGGACGAGTTATTTTGCCATCGAAAGTTGGAGCTAAGATACACTATAAACAACGTAACTTTGTACATGCAATCCGGAAGAATTTCATATTGGCATAACTGCCGCGCTGAAAACTCAACATTTTCGCTGTTGCAGTTCGCAATCCACCCCTAGTAAACTTCAGCCATAATAAACATCCGCCAGCTTTGCTGAAAATCAGCGCGAACTATCGTACCTCACTTTCCATCATTTTACATGAAATTAATTGCGCTTATTGTGACGTTTGCTGCATATGGCAGCTGTCATCGTTCGCGTATCTCGTAAATATAAGTAAAAAAGTATTCGCGACAGAATTATGTATGAATTCCACCCGGAATATGCTAATAGAAATTCTTGTGAAATTTTCATATAGGTATCTCTCTCGCGATTTTTTATTCCAAAAATTTTTAACAAATTAAACAAAACTAGACTTGTCTAATTTTGTATTTTAAATTTCTCAAACTCTAAAATTCCTCAAGTCTGAGATTACATATTGAGCTCTCTCATATTTTTAAACTATTAAAATTCTTAAGAATTCTTAGGTCGTGGAATTGTTCGAGTCTTAAAATCTTACTGCTAGATTACGAAGTTCTTGATGTCTAAAATTTTTTGATTGTAAAATTTTTTCAACTCCTATAGATTTCGCCATCGAGACTCATATAAGATAGTCGTCTTAAAATATGAAGAAAAACTTTCTAGTTTCTTTCCGAAGATGTAAAACATCGATAAAAGAAAAACAACTGAAACTTGCTGAAAGAGTAGTAGTACGAAGTGAGATAATAAGGGAAAATCCCTTTCTAAAAAAGAGATGTTACCGGCGTAAATGTTGTTAATGTCATACAGTTGAGACCTCTTTTCCGCGATGCCGGTTTTCTCGAAGTGCGATAGGCTTCACTTTTCTTTTAGATTCGTGTTATGCTTTAGCTCGCATGTGAATTTTGACAGTTGTGCAAAAATGTACTTACAGAAAGTTAGGGACTAAACAAAAAGTGTCAGAAAAAGATGTTAAAATTAAATATCTAATTGAATGAAGAAGAATAAAAGAAATTTTTATTCTTCTAATGAGATACAACGATAACTAACCTTCTTTTTAAAAAGTTATATAAGGGGTTTAATTATTAACGTTGTTCGGCGATGCTAATTTTCTCGCTTGGCTTTCTGCTGCGAGTAGCTGTCAGTGCGGAGATAATGTAATATGTATTTTGACAGAGTGTCAACGTCAGATTACGTCTTCACATGAGAAAAATCTTAATATGTGAAAATCATAAATAAATGTAAATTAAAATCGAATAGCGTGCGCAATGCTATTTCGAATAAAGTATTTAATACTAATTTATATAATTATTAAAGTAAATAATTCGATAATTTTTGCTCATAATGAAGATACGTAATTTAATAATATACATTTGTATGCATCAACTATTGCGGTAAAATCTCTAATCTTAGTAATTAGAATTTAAGTAACAACGATTTTTGTTTTGAAACATTTTCTCGATTGAACAGAATTAATCGTTAATTTAATCAATCCCAATAAATCCGCAGAATGATACACAAAACATAGTAACAGTCACGGAACAAAGTAAAGTAAAATATTAAGTACAGAATTTTCAATTTCGTAGGCAGGACAACGGACAACGAACGCTCAACGTTTTTTTGTTGTTTTTCTCTCGGCGCGGTAACGTACGATGTTTTTGCGTGCCATCGTGTACCCGAAGGTCGCCCCGTTATCAATCGCTCGCCGAACGTCGGGCCGGCAGGCAGCAGCGAGAGTCGCTCCGTGTGTCGTATTACTTTTGCGTTATCGGTTTCCAAGACGCGATCGCGATGAATGTGAGGATAAAACGCTATTGATTTGTACACGTTTAATATTAAGAGTAACGTTCGTCGACTAAATATTATATCAACGTAGATTTCACGAGACTAACTCATCTAATTGTAAAATATGAACGTAAACCGTGGTAAATTGTCGCGATTACGTCTCGTTTACGCACCGTGCTTTTAAATTATCTGTCGATTTCGCATAATTTGTTTCATTTTCGGGAAAAAAGAAAGAAATTTGTACGGCTGTCGCATTCGCTGTAATTCGCTCTGTCGTTCTTCGCCAATTCAAAAGTGATTTATCCATTCTGCCGAATCAAAAATGCAAGTTGTTAGTTCGTATAATTTGTACGACAATCACGAGGTATTTGTTAATAAGATTTCGTGCGTTTCGCGGTATTTCATCGCGTACGGGAGTGCCCGAAATTTCGCGCGATCGATGATTTTTGCGAGTGAGTGTTGTGTAAGTGCAACAAGGAAATCTGAGAGGAGGAGGAGGAGGCTTGGAAAGCATCGGGCAACGGCGCAGCAAGGGGTGAGGTGAGTGTTTTACATGTTTATAATATTTATAAAATTCTGTGAGTTTATATTTAAAAGGAAGACTATTTTTTCGTATTCTATAATTATTTTAGTAATAAATACCTATTTTGAAAAATATAAAATAAATATATTTAATAAAATAATTTCGATTTTACATAATTATTGTATAATAATCATATACATATTTGTATTTTTACAGTTGAACGTATATAGTTAACGATGTACAACTCTGGTCTTGCGAATCGTATCAGTGAGTTATAAATTACTTTATATTTTAAATTGACGTTGCGTATATAATACTTTCTTTGCATGTATACAAATTCTTGGAAATATACAATGCCTAACCATAAACTGCGCGCGCGAAGCGCGCGTTTTGTCATTTCTAGTAATAATAAATTTGTCGTTTTCTCGCGCGATGAGTAAGATAAAAAATCAGCGTAGACTTTGCGAATCCATTTGCGAATGTAGGACCACAGATGCAACCGTTAATTTTGAACTCTGCACGAGGCTAAAGAGAAGAATAAGTGAAGGGCAAGGCGGAGAGTACGAAGCGCCGGAGAACGTAAGAGCTCCGGTGTGCTCGATAAGCGGCTTGGAGGAAACACGTCGACGCGAACCAAATCCTTTTCAACCTCCACCCACCCTTATTCTCCCCTTTTTATGCGCTACGAGCGCATCGATGCAGGTGCATCTACTCCGTCTGGAGCATTTATGTCTGGGAACGGGGAGGAAGGGTTGGCGCGAAATAAATCGTCTTTCTTTCGCACGTTCTCTCATTCGTAAAATCGTAAAACATGATGTCGACGGCGAGATCGATTTTACAAATCCATTCCGCAAAAAGCTGGAAACGCGGCAGTCCCTGCTGACTGCAGATCGAAATTTCCCATTGGGGTATGAAGTAACTCGGGAGATTAGTAGAAAAGGCTGTTAGATCTATAAAGACAGTCGGTTGAGAATCGATAGAAATGTCAACAAAAGTAAGACAGATTGATTGAAAAGTATTATGACATGAAATACCATTTTATAACAGATAATAGTTGGTAAAAAGTTACCTATGTTAACAAGCTGCTTAAAATATAAAAATAATATATATTAGGGATTTATATCAATTACATCGATAACGTTTATATCTTATTTAAATTTAGCAATCGTATTTCTTCTCGCTTTATCATCATAGTTAACTGAGGAAGATTTACGTTGCAAGTTAATTCGTTCGAAATCTCGTACGTGATTTTTACATAAAGTTGCTGAATACAAGAGATTTGGCTTGAAATTCCTCGTAATTCCCGTTTTTGCCTTTCGAGTCGAAACGTGTCCTACAGAGAATAATTCACATACCAAAATTCGCGAGGATAATAAAATTCT